GGCATTAACAAAGAGTAACTAAATGTATATTGTAGCATAAAAATAAAACATATATCCATAAAATATTTCAAAATTAAAGTGTATTAGTAATAATTAGTTTGTATTTGCGCAATTTTCTGTTTGCGCATTTTTCCGTTGAGCAATTTTCCGATTGCGCATTTTTCTGGGAACCGAGTAAATGAAATGTCTTTAATATTTGTGGCGAATTCAACGAGCAATATAGCAGACTTCTGCTGATTTTGTAATTAACGCTATGAAAAGTATAAAAGTGTAGTTAAAGTACATTCCAAGTCGACAGATGAATTAAAAGACAGGGAAAAAAATGTCCAACTTTAAATGTGATTTTGAGAGGGGCAGTCTGATGTTGTGACTATTTTGGGTGAGAGTGGGTACGGAAATAATGAGGGATTGGGGGTAGGGTTGAGGTTGGTGTAGGGGGGTGGGGTAGGGGTGTTGAATAATGCAAGGAGTGAAGGGAAACGAGCTAGGGGAATTTAGTTGTCAGATTTTTAAATAGGGATGAAGCTAAGGATGAAAGCTCTGTCCAAATGTCCCTCCGTACCCCCCCCTCCCTCCCTCCCCCACCCTCTGCCATTAGAAGATCGGGGACATATTATTCATAACTGCTCAACAACTTTTTGGCAGCTAGTTATGTCTGGATGGTCGGGGAATAAGGGAGGGGGAGGGGAAGGGGAGATGGGGTCAGAGGGACTGGTTTGGGAGAGTTCGTTGGGGGAGGGAGGGGTGGAAGTTATTTGCATTCTCTGCTCATTTGTTAATCTGTGATTCTGGAACTTCAAAAGTTGGCGTCTGTAGTTGGTGTTTTGGTGTCTGTAGTTTGTGTTTTGGCGTCTGTAGTTGGTGTTTTGGTGTCTGTAGTTGGTGGTTTGGTGTCTGTAGTTGATGTCTGTAGTTGGTGTGTAGTTGGTGTATGTAGTTGGTTTTTTGGTGTCTGTAGTTGGTGTCTGTAGTTGGTGTCTGTAGTTGGTGTTTTGGTGTCTGTAGTTGGTGTCTGTAGTTGGTGTGTAGTTGGTGTCTGTAGTTGGTGTCTGTAGTTGGTGTCTGTAGTTGGTTTTTTGGTGTCTGTAGTTGGTGTTTTGGTGTCTGTAGTTGGTGTCTGTAGTTGGTGTCTGTAGTTGGTGTCTGTAGTTGGTGTCTATAGTTGGTGTCTGTAGTTGGTGTCTGTAGTTTGTGTCTGTAGTTGGTTTTTTGGTGTCTGTAGTTGGTGTTTTGGTGTCTGTAGTTGGTGTCTGTAGTTGGTGTCTGTAGTTGGTTTTTTGGTGTCTGTAGTTGGTGTCTTGGTGTCTGTAGTTGGTGTCTGTAGTTTGTGTCTGTAGTTGGTGTCTGTAGTTGGTGTCTGTAGTTTGTGTCTGTAGTTGGTTTTTTGGTGTCTGTAGTTGGTGTCTTGGTGTCTGTAACTTGGTGTCTTGGTGTCTGTAGTTGGTGTCTGTAGTTGGTGTCTTGGTGTCTGTAGTTGGTGTCTCTAGTTGGTGTCTGTAGTTGGTGTTTTGGTGTCTGTAGTTGGTGTCTGTAGTTTGTGTTTTGGTGTCTGTAGTTGGTGTCTTGGTGTCTGTAGTTGGTGTCTGTAGTTGGTGTCTTGGTGTCTGTAGTTGGTGTCTCTAGTTGGTGTCTGTAGTTGGTGTTTTTGGTGTCTGTAGTTGGTGTCTGTAGTTGGTGTTTTGGTGTCTGTAGTTGGTGTCTTGGTGTCTGTAGTTGGTGTCTCTAGTTGGTGTCTTGGTGTCTGTAGTTGGTGTCTTGGTGTCTGTAGTTGGTGTCTGTAGTTGGTGTCTTGGTGTCTGTAGTTGGTGCCTTGGTGTCTGTAGATGGTGTCTGTAGTTGGTGTCTGTAGTTGGTGTCTGTAGTTGGTGTCGTAATTTTAACTACACTCTACAATATAAATATCTTTAAGCCTAGTCCTACCCATACAGATAACTGACCAGCTCGTATTATAAACAATCCTTATATTCACACACTTTTATGGGGAAAGTGGGAGTACCCTTAGATTCAGCGGCCAGCAGTTAGGGGGTCGGGAACGGGGGTTGGGGTGGGGGTGGGAGAATACACACATAAAAACCCCTGCGATCTTTGTTACCGGCCAACCCTCATTGTCGAAATGTCGCAGGGACGTTTCGGAAATGTCTAAGGGACATTTCGTGTCAGACATTTCGCCGGCATGTGATTATCTAAGATAAGACGACAGCGGTTTTAGGATGTGGAATGTTGTGGTGTTGATGTGTCGAGGTCTTGATGTGGTGTGTGGTGATGTTTTGTGTAGTGATGTGTTATGTTGTGATGTGCTAATGTGTTGACACGTGTTGGGTACAGGACAGGTTATAACGGAGTTAGGTCATCCCATCGTTGAAGTGAGGTAATTTTCATTAATAGACCAGGTAATTAATGGATCAGGTAATTAATGGATCAGGTCATTGAGGTGAGAGGTTCATAATGGGTTAGCATAAATGGGAAATATTATTAATGTGTTAGCATTATAAACGGAAAGGTCATTACTGAACCAGGTCATGAAAGTGAGAGGTCATTTAAGGGTAAGATCAATAATGGCTGAGGTCATTAATGGACCAGGTCATTAATGGATCAGGTCATTAAAGAGAAGGATCATACCTTCGCTACAAGAAGTCATTATTCGACGAAATGTTTGAGTAAAATTTTAAACGTCATGATTGGACTTGGTCGTAACTGAGGGCATGAACAAACGTAACAAACGATATTAATGACTATATATAACACGCAAAATGTAATACATTTCTATAGCTGCAACCCACTTCTTTTTTGCTTTTTTAAGTCCCTTTGTTTTTTTTTAATCTCGGCCACTCTTCTACCCTCTCATTCTACATACATACATAACCCATCCATTATATATATATATATATATATATATATATATATATATATATATATATATATATTTAAATTTATATGATGTAAGTGAGAGAGATGTCTTGACGTCAAGTATAATGGGAAGCCAACAAGAGCTCACATTATATCGTAATAGCGACCTGAATCATTTTCCTAATGAAGGTCACCTAAATATCGATACAATTATATATATTCATCACATCACGTAATCGTACCAGACGTATAAATCACAGACTTTATAGTCAGCTCATCGATTACCCTCATGGCATTCCGTCGCATAATCGATTACTGCCAATTTCTTAGATTTCTCGATGTCTACTTTTACGTCCGCGCATTAATTATTCTCTAATCACGGCCGTGTGATGGTTTATTGATTACTTACCTGGGATACTGACTTGATGTGGGGAGGGGGGGGGGGTTGAGGGAAAGGAAGGTAGATGGGGATTAGGGTGTTGAGTAAGATGGTAGACTGGGGAGTATGGTGGGGTCCAGGGTGGGGAGTTGGGTGTAGAGAAGGGTGGAGTATAGTGCAGTATGGTGGAGTATGGTAGAGAGCATGGTGGAGTATGGTGGAGAGTATGGTGGAGAGTATGGTGGAGTATGGTGGAGAGTATGGTGGAGAATGGTGGAGTATGGTGGAGAGTATGGTGGAGTATGGTGGAGTATGGTGGAGAGTATGGTGGAGTATGGTGGAGAGTATGGTGGAGTATGGTGGAGAGTATGGTGGAGTATGGTGGAGAGTAGGGTGGAGTAGGGTGGAGTATGGTGGAGAGTATGGTGGAGTATGGTGGAGAGTATGGTAGAGTATGGTGGAGAGTATGGTGGAGTAGGGTGGAGTATGGTGGAGTATGGTGAAGAGTATGGTGGAGTAGGGTGGAGAGTATGGTGGAGTATGGTGGAGTATGGTGGAGAGTATGGTGGAGTATGGTGGAGAGTATGGTGGAGAGTATGGTGGAGTATGGTGGAGTATGGTGGAGAGTATGGTGGAGTATGGTGGAGTATGGTGGAGAGTATGGTGGAGAGTTTGGTGGAGAGTATGGTGGAGTATGGTGGAGTATGGTGGAGAGTTTGGTGGAGATTATGGTGGAGTATGGTGGAGTATGGTGGAGAGTATGGTGGAGTATGGTGGAGTATGGTGGAGAGTTTGGTGGAGAGTATGGTGGAGTATGGTGGAGTATGGTGGAGAGTATGGTGGAGTATGGTGGAGTATGGTGGAGAGTATGGTGGAGTATGGTGGAGTATGGTGGAGAGTTTGGTGGAGTATGGTGGAGTATGGTGGAGAGTATGGTGGAGAGTATGGTGGAGTATGGTGGAGAGTGTGGTGGAGAGTATGGTGGAGTATGGTGGAGTATGGTGGAGAGTATGGTGGAGTATGGTGGAGTATGGTGGAGAGTATGGTGGAGAGTATGGTGGAGTATGGTGGAGTATGGTGGAGAGTTTGGTGGAGAGTATGGTGGAGTATGGTGGAGTATGGTGGAGAGTATGGTGGAGTATGGTGGAGTATGGTGGAGAGTATGGTGGAGAGTATGGTGGAGTATGGTGGAGTATGGTGGAGAGTTTGGTGGAGAGTATGGTGGAGTATGGTGGAGTATGGTGGAGAGTATGGTGGAGAGTTTGGTGGAGAGTATGGTGGAGTATGGTGGAGAGTTTGGTGGAGAGTATGGTGGAGTATGGTGGAGTATGGTGGAGAGTATAGTGGAGTATGGTGGAGTATGGTGGAGAGTATGGTGGAGTATGGTGGAGAGTATGGTGGAGTATGGTGGAGTATGGTGGAGAGTATGGTGGAGTATGGTGGAGTATGGTGGAGAGTATGGTGGAGTATGGTGGAGAGTATGGTGGAGTATGGTGGAGAGTATGGTGGAGTAGGGTGGAGTATGGTGGAGAGTATGGTGGAGTATGGTGGAGAGTATGGTGGAGTATGGTGGAGAGTATGATGGAGTAGGGTGGAGTATGGTGGAGTATGGTGGAGAGTATGGTGGAGTAGGGTGGAGAGTATGGTGGAGTATGTTGGAGAGTATGGTGGAGTAGGGTGGAGTATGGTGGAGAGTATGGTGGAGTATGGTGGAGAGTATGGTGGAGAGTATGGTGGAGAGTATGGTGGAGTATGGTGGAGTATGTTGGAGAGTATGGTGGAGTATGGTGGAGAGTATGGTGGAATATGGTGGAGAGTATGGTGGAATATGGTGGAGAGTATGGTGGAATATGGTGGAGAGTATGGTGGAATATGGTGGAGAGTATGGTGGAGTATGGTGGAGTTTATGGTGGAGAGTATGGTGGAGAGTGTGGTGGAGAGTATGGTGGAGAGTATGGTGGAGTATGGTGGAGTTTATGGTGGAGAGTATGGTGGAGAGTGTGGTGGAGTGTATGGTGGAGAGTATGGTGGAGTATGGTGGAGTATGGTGGAGAATATGGTGGAGTATGGTGGAGTATGGTGGAGAGTATGGTGGAGTATGGTGGAGTTTATGGTGGAGAGTATGGTGGAGAGTGTGGTGGAGAGTATGGTGGAGAGTATGGTGGAGTATGGTGGAGTATGGTGGAGAGTATGGTGGAGTATGGTGGAGTATGGTGGAGTATGGTGGAGTATGTTGGAGAGTATGGTGGAGTATGGTGGAGAGTATGGTGGAATATGGTGGAGAGTATGGTGGAATATGGTGGAGAGTATGGTGGAATATGGTGGAGAGTATGGTGGAGTATGGTGTAGAATAGGCTTGGGACTAGGGTGACTAACGGTTCCACGTCTGCACAATAGCTGCATTGTTAACGAAATGTAGATCTAGGTCGTCTGTTGCTGTCAATATTGAAAGGTCTCTTGCGTGAGGTTGTGTACGTGGATGAGCAAATGGAAGGTATATGTAGGTTATACAAAAGTGTATGTTCTGATACACGTGCATAAAGCTTCAACGTGTGCACGTGAGTACATAACGTACGCATTTCTCAACAGCCATCTTATTACACCTTAAAAACATAACACAGTCATACATTCTGCTTTAAGGAAGCTAAGCAAAATGGCTGTTTATACCACACTCTCTTACTGCATAACATTTCAAATTGGGTTTTATTTACATTCGACAATTTTTAACATGGAATTTATAATACTCTCTGTTTCATTTAAAAGAATTAACACTAAAAAACATTAAGGTATAAGAATGTACCTATATTGAAATGTCTTGAATTTGTGATTTAAAAAACAAACAAATGTGCAACAAATGGCCACAGTTTACTATCAGTAAAATTCACAAAAACATACAATTTTACCATCTAATAAAATTTCTACTAAATACAATATCGTAGCAAATACAATTTACTACTGACAAGTATTTATCACAGAAAAAAATGGCACCAGATAAAATGTTACTTCCAAACACAATTTACCACCAAATAAAATTTACCATCACCAATCTTTACCACCAACTGTTTTTTTTATGCCGCTTCGCGCTGACAAGTGTCACCCAATAAATAGTGATTTAATACTTGACATATCGTCAGCTTTTGTATGCACCCTCAACAGTATGCTACCTCAGCTGTATGCTACCTCAACTGTATGCTACCTCAGCTGTATGCTACCTCAACTGTATGCTACCCCTATGCTACCTCAACTGTATGCTACCTCAACTGTATGCTACCACTATGCTACCTCAGCTGTATGCTACCTCAACTGTATGCTACCTCAACTGTATGCTACCTCAGCTGTATGCTACCACTATGCTACCTCTACTGTATGCTACCTCACCTGTATGCTACCTCAACTGTATGCTACCTCAGCTGTATGCTACCTCAACAGTATGCTACCTCAACAGTATGCTACCTCAACTGTATTTTACGTCAGCTGTATGCTACCTCGGCTGTATGCTACCTCAACTGTATGCTACCTCAACTGTATGCTACCTCAGTTGTATGCTACTTAAACTGTAAACTACCCACGACATCCGGTACAGTATGTATCTGCCTAAATCTAAAGGTCTTATTGTCAACAGGAAATGAAAACGTTATCTCCCCCACCCCTCAATCCCAGCCTCACTTCCAACCCAACCAACCAAAAAAAAAATCCGATTTTAATTAACCTCTGGTACACCCGCCAATTAAAAAAAAACTAAACAAAAACCCCCTCTTATTATTTCCTTTATAAAAGTGCTAGCATCGCATCATGTACCAAAAGGAAGGTTCACCCCCCCCCCCCCACACCATCTACATCTTTACCAACTTACCAATGACCTTTTGAACTTTAATACCACCATGTTTTCAAGACCCGCCCACCCCCTCCCCGCCGGTACCTGTACCCAACTTATCTCTTACATCACCGAGATCGATCCCAGAGTTCCTCATATCGATCACACTGCGCCAGGTACCGAAAGCACCGCCATGCCTGTTTGTTGATTGACCGTGTCATCCTGTCTGGCACATCCGTATTTACTTCTGCCAGATTTTTAGCGCATACATCCTCTGCTCAAATTTGTGATCAACACTTTTTTTTCATGTACCCCGCGGGCGGATGTAAGGAAATGTTTACTATATAAAACTTTTTTTTTGGATCATTAAATGAAGGAAGTAAATGGTCTAGTGATAGAGTGAAGACGTCCGCCCGACAAGTCACCGGGCCGGTACCTGCTAACGGTTTTGATCAAGAAAAATAGAAAGACATTGTGAATTAACAGCAGACTAAAGATCTTTTAATCCCACCACCCCTTTATTCTTGCCCAAGAAACATAGGGGCGGATGAAATAGAGTTCATATGTTTTAATGACTTTAAAATACATGGGGATAATGTGGTGAACACCTTACACAACTGCCTTGGTTTCTCTAACGTGATTCAGGTACCCAAAAGAGCTGGCTGGACTCAGAGACATCCGAAAATCTCGACCCCAGGATCCGAACTCTAGACGTTCATGTTGGCAGTCGTAATCTCCACCATCCGACCACACCGCCCCCTGTTAAATGGATCTATAATCAACCTCACTCGCACCTTGATCTAATTAGCTCATTAGACGAAAAGTCTAATCGTTTTCAGCACCACTCCACCCTGTGCCAACAACCCCCCCCCCCCCCCTTTCGCTCCTGGAGGGGGGGGGGGCTCTAAAACCCATGACTGGGTTAAGTTCTTGATCGGCTGACCAACGCTTGGACGCCAATCTAGAACATTAAGCCGAGACATGTAATCATGTCCATATGCAATCTAATGCTCTGTCTACATAATAAATATTTCAATGCCTGTTGTTGCTAATTAGTGACACACGCATATTATATTAAAAAGCAACACTCTAATGACATATAGTCAATTACCATATCCATTCTACTATGTGTCATTAATAAATATTGAAAGTTTCGAATAGGCGTCCTTACTAAAAATAGAATATTGACAATAGACAGTGTTACCATAGGGCTGGTAAGTAGGTCACCAACCAGTTCTACAGCTCAATAAAACCTGCATGAGCCATGGAACTGGTTGGTGACATACTTACCAGCCCTATAACGCCAAGGGTAAACTCTATTCTTAGAACAGCTTTAACGAGACTAAATCCGAGGCTACAGCCATAAGACATCGACTTGTGATTACTTACAGAAATCAAGAAATAATAAATTGTTAAAAACATTCGTATTGTAAAAACAGTATGCGCAAAGGGTTTAAAACAAATCCGTATGCCCATATTTCTATTCCTGTCTCTACATAACCTACCATTTTATCATTACTAGTTAGAGGCGTAGCGATGAGGACAACCAGTCCACAACATCCCACAACATCCCACCAACAACCTAACAACACACCGCCCCCCTCACAATCGATCACTTACATTTTATACCCACGTTCGACCTTGGGATAACAATACATAAACACACCGGGGTTAACTCACACACGTACATTTCTTTAAGTTCTAGACTATTCTAACCTTTTCTAATCTAACCCTCGCACTTTGATAAGTTAAATCTATCATAACCTAAAGCAGTGAACTCTACTTCACCTATAATGTTGGAGACTTGTTCTGTGTCTTCACAAACTTGTAGCTAATCAAAAGAACATGAAAATATCACACGACTGGTGGATTCTACCAAAACTAGAGCAAAAAAAAAAATAATCACCGACTTTCGTGGCTTTAAAGCTGTTCAGCCTTGATTGATTAAAACAATAATTAAATTATCAACAATAATTAGTTAATGACCTGATTTTTTTCATGTTGGTTCCTCCGTACTGCAACTTAAACATTTTTTTTTAAAATGCCTTTAGTTTCGGTATATACTCCTACAAATAGCGCCCGTAAGACGTCCATGAGTCCACCCAGCTCTAATGGGTACCCGAATCACGTCAGGGTAAATTAAAAGCGTATGAGCATAAAGCTAACCACACTATACATTCATATGCCGAGTTAACGAAAACAGGTAAACTCTACTTCATCTGACCTGTATCAGATCCTAAGGAGTAACTTACTTTTAAACACCTCAGAATGGCATATAGTATAGCATGCATCTACAATCAACACCACTCGCTCTTTCAACTAATTAGCTAATGAGACGATTAAGCTGTGGCTAATATAAATGTCAACAATTAACGATAATTAGCAAACAACACCGAAGCATGTCTAATTAACAAAACTTCACACGGGCGTGAGATCTAATTGACAGACTCAAACCAACACACCCTGCTACCCAGTACCCTACTAACATATCTCAAATACAAAAATTTCAGTCCTCCCCCCACCCCCCGACCTCCCCACTACCACACACAAACTCCACCCCAAAATAAATCTAACCTGGGGTCTAATTAGTGAATGACAAATTCAAAGTTACAAATCCACACCCAGTTTATATCAAATACCCGATTGCAGCATCACCGCTCCCCCCCCCCCCTCCCACAGTCGACCTAATGACAGACGCCCCATAACAAAATCATCTTTGATGTATTAGACATACCCCCACCCTGTACACACAGACGCCCACTGCCCATACTAACAACAGACGCCCCATAACAAAATCATATATGTTGTACTAGACTTACCCCCCCCCCCTCCCACCCTATACGCACAGACGCCCACTGCCCATACTAACAACAGACGACACATAACAACAATATATCTATATTGTATGAGACTTACCCTTTCCTCCCACAACCCCCCCCCCTCCCCCTAACCCTAACAAGACATCCCATAATTTACAATTTAAATTGTGATAAACTTTTCCAACCCCCCCCCCCCCCCCTCCTCAATCCCATAACGTTACGATTTACATGGTATTCGACTTGCCATTACCCCTCCCCAACTAAACTACATACAATATTCCATTCAATTTGTCATACTCCCGCCCCCCCCCCTCCCTCTTAACTCTACAAACGCCCACACCTTTATTCCTTAAGGTTATAATTTAAATTGTGTTCGACATACCATTCCCACCCACAAACTCATAATACATTGTATAAAATGTGTCCCCCTACTCCCTTTCTCCCCCCCCAACAAACGCCCACACCTTTGTCGCCCATAAGCCAAAATTTACAATGTGTTCGACTTACCGATCCCACCCACGTACCTCCATAATACAGTGTAGAAAATGTGTCCCTCTACCCCCCAAGAACCCCCCATATGACGTAACAATCCATGTTGTATCAGACGTGAATGGCACGTGAGTCACGTGTTACCCGTCAGCTCCACCAGCCCTGATTTAATCCACATCCGGTGGGTAAGTCGGGGAGAAAAAAAAATAACAAATTGCGCTTTCCTAATCAGCTGTGCATGCACTAATG